AAAAAAGACAACTACTGTTTAACAAAGTTAAAGTAAAAATGTCTTATTTCCCTAAAAGGGCTATTTCTATTATTAAGCAGGCACAACTTAACAAAATAAGAGTTCCTGTGCCTCAACACAATACCTCTCATTATTTGCTGTGTACTGGCAAAGTGAATAATTATTTTCATGCACCCCATTATTGGTTGGTTGTGAGGAGTGTTGATTTGTATAAGCTTGGCTTGACCATACTAAATGGGCATATAGCCCTGCTCCCCATCACCGCTGTGCATGGGACCGGACCTTGGTCTTATTAAAAAAAAAAAAAAGTGGACCGACAGCATTTCTAGTTGAGGACCACTGTGCTATATTATGGAATTCATGCGTGTGTGTGTGTGTGTGTGTGTGTGCGTGTGTGCGCGCATGTTTGTGTGTATACTGGATAAGAGACCTTGCCGTGGCATTTCTGGACCTGTGGGGGTGACGATTAAGAAAGACCGCTGAGGACCGAAAAAAAAAAAAACTCAGGAAAAAATGTAAAGGTGTCTTAAATTTGATTGTTCTTGTGTTTGACAACAAGCCTGCTATAGCGGGCACACTAGGGAGGGAGATTCCTCGATCTTGACGTGTCATTGCAACGTCGAGGGGGTTTACAGTTGATATGGACCGATAGAAGTCATCTCTCATGGCACCCATCAAACCACCAGCCAGCAACAACAACAGCTTGCCGTTGCAGCATCTAAACATGTGCTTCAACATTTTTTTTTTTTGTCACTAAAATGTGCCAATGTCAGCCATCTCTTTATTTGTCCCCTTGGCACATCGATGGAATATTTGGAAATTAGCACAAATAACTACGTCACGCTGCAGCCCATATCTGAACCGTTTATTATGTTATTACTGAATGTTGTTATTGTTGAAAATGCTACAGTCCATTCAAAATCTACTCCTTAGAAAGACACAACAAACAATTTAGTAATAGCCGCAATAAATCATGAGTGCACACCCGTACCCAATATCTTCTGCACGATGCAGAGTGTGAGAGTTTCATCATTCTGCATGCCACGTCCTGTGTACTTGCATGTTAGTTTTATTTCCCATGCTACAGTGAATCATTGTCTGCTGAGACACAAACAGAGAAAAGACTGAGTTTGGAGGTTTATTCCCTGAAATCTCCCAACCGCTAATGTAAGCAGGAGCCAGCTGCGAGCACTTGTAAAGTTGTTATAATACTCTTCTCTTTCGACCTATAAACAGGAAAATCCTTATAATAAGGCATATACACACATCTCCGAAAAAGAAAAAAAAAACATTTTTCATTTTGTCCTTGTAAGGAATTGAGCCCTAAGAGCCTGACTCTAGTCCATTAATGAGAATTAAAAAACATCACAATCCATTTTGTCCTGTTTTGGTAAAAGCAGAGTCAATATGCAGAGGAGTCTATTAAGTACTTATTGCGATGTTAGATGATTGTTGTCGTAACTGTATTCTCCAGTCATTTGTTATGTCAACTTTACCAACACTGTAAAATCCAATGCAATTAGCTTTGTAAGGTTAAAGGCGTGAAAATAAAGCAGGCATAGTCCCAAAATCAAACAGGTGGGCACTGTTTGAAATGCTGTAGTTGGAAATGTTAAAGTAATAATAATAGTGGAATATGACCAAACTTAAAAACAAATGTTAATATTTACTTTTTCCATCCATTTTCCGATCCGCTTATCCTCACAAGGGTCACACTGGAGCCGATTCCAGCTGTCTTCTAGCAGCAGGCGGAGGACACCCTGAACCGGTCGCCAGCCAATCGCAGGGCACACAGAGACGAACAACCATCCGCGCTCACACCCACACCGAGGGACAATTTTGAGTGTTCAATCAGCCTGTCATGCATGTTTTTGGAATGTGGGAAGAAACTGGAGTACCAGGAGAAAACCCACACAGGCCCAGGGAGAACATGCAAACTCCCCACAGGATCGAACCCACGACCTCTGCACTGTGAGGTGATGCGCTAATACCACTGGACCACCGGGACACCCGATATACTTTTTCATTCTCGATATACTTCTTGTCCTAGTAAGGTCTTTTATTTGCTGGAGCTTATCCCATCTAAAATTTGAACATGAGATGTGGTACACCCTGAACTGCTCATCAGCCAATCGCCAGGCACATATCGACAAGCAAGTATTGATGCACACATTCACACCAGCTGTGTGTCCAACTTGTCCAAACATTCACATTTTCAAAATATGGAAGGAAGTCAGCGTAGGAGGAGAACAAGCAAACTCCACTCAGGACAGCCAAGCCAAGATTCAAACCCAAACTTCCGAACTTTGGGTTACCCACATTGACCACTCCTCCCTCAAGTTAACCCTACTTTCCCATTATTATATTTCATTCTAAACTTTTTGCGTTTGCCTTTCTTCACTGGTAGGCTGTGTGAAATAATATCATGTTAGCTTGTGCCATGTCCACTGTATGCACTTAAAAAAAGGGTTTTATGTTTTGTAACATATTCAACTTGTAGTGGTTCATTTCCTGGATTATGTTTGGATCTCACAGGGGGTTGGACCAGTTAATCACAGGTTGGACAGATCACAATTCCCACATACATCTACAGGCAATTTAAAATGACTAAAAAAGCAATGTGTTTGTGGTTTGTGGGTGAAAACCAGAGAGGCTTAAAAAAAGTCAAAGCAAAGAGGAACATGAAAGGTCTACTCAGAAAAGCACAGCTGGACAGCAGATTCACACCCAGAGGCAATAGCAGCATTTGTCACACTCTGTAGAATGCTGGACAAAATTGCATGTGCCATTATTCTTAATTTGTGTTTGTTCAAATGACAACTGACTTGGAATAGTGAAAAGGGACTCCGATTTTACTTAACAGGACACAAATGGAGCATTATTAGGGAGAGAAAAACAGAACAAAATCAAATTTGCACATTTTAACGAAGAGTATTTTGCCAAAAGAATGACTTTCAACAAGAATGCGTCATGAAAAGCTTTTCCTCCTTTTTTGGTCAATATTTGTCGACAATTACTGGGAGTTGCAAAAGTACCCTGTTCCACATTACGTTTCACAATGACACAGTAAAACTGATCACTAAAAATACTGAACACTTACAATGGATCTAAATTATATTACTGTAATATAACTAACACCCCACCACCACAAGGTGGGGTGTTAGTGCAGAATGACTTGCTCACACCCACATTTTTCCAAAATAGGCAGATAGCAAGCGATTTATTTGGGTGTTTAATATTTCACTTAATGCGCAGAGAGGCTGGATTTTTGTTTTTGTTTTCCAGTGGCTAAAGGGGGGAGGGGGACAGATATATGGGGGGGGGGGGGCGAAGAAAATAATTTCCAAATATATTTTCGAATAAAATGCTTGAGAGGCTTAACTTGAACAACACAGATTTATGACGGGGCTAGAACACCCCCTAGCCGAGTTGTCGCGCTATCCCAATCAGAGTTCGACTATTTGACTGAATAGACAGCCTGATCAAGTTGTCTAACATTCGAGTTAATATAACATTGATTTGGCTTTCTCCCCCTTCCGCGTCACTAGAACAAACCATGACATTGGCAAATGTAGCTACATATATTTTTAGAGAGATAGATGGATAACTAGAGTAAGTGCAATGTTTTTAGTTATATTTTCGCCATTTAAACACGTTTTTCATTTGACCGAAGCCACAGTAAGTCCCAGCAATGGAGTCTGCGGTGTTTGCTTGTTCTTTCTGTGCGAGCAAGTCTCAGCGTCAGGGGTGGACGCTATCTTTCAAACAGCACATCAACGCGTTTATGTATTGGGTGGCCGGAAATTTTTTTCCAAATAAACACAGCTTGATTCAACTTGGGTGGGCAGACTTATCAAGCGACTAATTCTATAAACAGACGAAGGAATAAAGCGACACCTGATTGGTCGCGGGGCCGAATGGGGAACGCAGGGTTAGGGGCTGGTGGGGTGGGCGGCATCCGGCGCAATGAAATTTGAATTAATGTGGGTGGGCTGAAACAGCACCGACGGTTTACGGTGGACAATTTATTTCCCGGCCCAAAATCAACACAAACGGAGCAAAAGTACAACAATGATTTACATTTATTTAGTGGAGCACAAGCGAAACGAGTGAGACAGAGAGAAGAGCTTCTCCTCCGGCGCTCATTCCGGTGTGCTCGATCTCTGCATCATGACGCTCTACCGCGGACGTGTGACGACATTCGGCGTGCCATCCCCCGCTCTGAACTTCACCGGACCTCCGCTCATCTACTTGTACGGAGGAGACAGCGGTGGCGTGGTGCCCGCCGCTTTGAGCCTCGTGTCGGCTAGCCAGGACCCACCGCAGAAGCCGCCTTACAGTTACATTGCGCTCATCGCCATGGCTATTAAGAGCACGCCGGAGCAGCGCGCCACGCTGAACGGCATCTACCAGTTCATCATGGATCGCTTCCCTTTTTACCACGATAACAAGCAGGGCTGGCAGAACTCCATTCGCCACAACCTCTCTCTTAACGACTGCTTCATCAAGGTGCCCAGGGAGAAGGGCCGACCCGGGAAAGGCAGCTACTGGACGCTCGACACCAAGTGCACGAACATGTTTGAGAATGGGAACTACCGGCGGAGGAAGAGGAAGGTCAAGTGTCAACAGGAGCGCACCAAAGGTACATCATCAGCATCGGAAAAGGATCATCCCCGCTCATCTTCCTTGGTGGTGGAGATGACGCTGAAGCACGACGCGCAGGGATCGGAGACGCGACAAGACTCGGAATCAGTCCAACAGCAACCGCGCCAAACACACAGACAGAAAGTGTGTCATGCCATGAAGCCGACCAGGAGGAAGCAAGACCAGAGGCACATTTCACCGCGGGCACATGGCGCGCCCAGAATCAGCTTGCAAATTCCCGGTGACAAGTCCACGTCTCTTCCTAAAGCAGATGTTCCGAGCAAGGACAAATGCACAGCTTTCAGCATTGAGAACATCCTAGCAAAAAGTGAAGGCGACCTGGGCTCGCAGCACCAAATTACAGGTGCTGCTCCAAACGTGTTTTCGGACGCTCGACAGCATCACTTATACGGAATGAGATTACCGTTTTGCTCTTGTTTGTCACTCCCTTGTCCAGATAAAACTTTGCATTACAAATCAGAATAATGACTCACAAATGTCCATTCTCATTCATTGGAACTGTGTTTCTCCGACTTTTGGGGGCACATACTGTATATTTTTTTCAACAACAACAAAAAATCTCAAGGTAAACTACCAAACAAAAATGTCACTAAAATGGAGACAAGGATTTATCATGCATTATCCTATCTAAGTGGAAGAACATTTGATTTGTTTTTCTGGCATAGATAAGTTGAACAAACATGCATTATTAAATCGTTTTTGGACCAACGAAATAAAATTGAATAATTTCCCACTGTGCATCTGGTGATCTGTTGTGGGACACTGCCACAGCACCCGAGCTCCGAAATCACTGCATGATAGTGTACATTCCATGTAGATGCACAGCTAATTATTTTAAAACACATAGATTCTTCTATATCGCTCAGTTAACTGTTTATAGGCTCTCAGTTTTCTCTTAAATAAGATAGCATGTTGTTAAGAATAACGTACTGTAGTGTACATACAGTAGCTAATTCAAACATTTTGTGTATAGCCTTTTGTAATCTGACAAGTAAGATTGATACACATGCATGACTTTGTATTTCCATCTGCTCTGAATTTCATGTATAAAATAAAGAAAGGTTAGTTTGGTAATCAATGAACGTTTGTTCGAGGAGAACATTTTTTAAAACTGACAAAAAGTGGAAATGCAGAAGTCAGAGGGCGACGAGGATCAAGGGCTTTCACGGTCTGGGCCAACACTTCAAAACTTCCTCAACCCCTGGAAATGTACTTTGTGAGTTCAGCTGTTGTCTATTTTAAACATGCATGTGGTCCATTCAAAATGAAATTGTCATTTAGATTAAAGGATATTTTTCAACAAGAGTTTGGGGGCCCTCTAGGATAGGCACCATATAAATAGAATAGAATAGAACAGAACAGGACAGAATAGGATTTAGTTGATTAAAAATGAAATAAAATAAAAAAAAGCTCTGGAGGGGGGGGGGTGGGGGGACAAAAGATGTATTAGTAAATATGGAATATTTTGTCACATTTCTACCGAAATATGTGATTGAATGACTGAGGATCACTGTAACAGTGTGTTGATCACCTGTTGGTTATAGTCACAGTGTTTTGTTTTTAAATAATGATACAAATGTATTAACGCAATATGACAAAGACAGACAATTTCTGTAAGCTAACAAAAATACTGAAAACAAACAATGCCTTTCCTGAAACTTAAAAATTTGGCTGGAAAAAAATGACAGAAATACTAGATTTATTGCTTAAAAGGCCACCAACGTGAATAGTTTGATTTTGGATCCATTCTTTGAATTTCCTCCCAGTAGTATGAAGTATCTTGAGGTTTCCTGAAACCTGGTCACAAATTATGACATGAAAAGCTTAAGACTCAAAATAAAAAGTTCAAACTGACATTTGATTCACTTTATTTTTAAGAAGATCAAACAAGATGGCAGACGACCCCTGTGATTGAATACTTTGGACCATGAGGGGAAAACCTCACTTTTAAATGATTCTCTGACAATGTCTAATTTATTGAAATTCCAAAGCATGTGGCAAATATATCTTAACTCTCTCTATATTTATGACGCATGCATGAAATCAGTGCGGTCAGGTGACTGCATCATTGCAAACAGAGAGTCGCCATGTCTAAATATAGCTTGACAGGTTGGACACCCACTAGCCTGAGAACGCTTGGCCCTGCAGGACTGTGCAAATCAGGAATGTTTGTTGAAATAAATAAATCTCCGCTCATTTGAAGATGGAACTCAAACAATTATACACATTTCCTGTGTTGACCATTTCTTTTCTCTCTCTCTTTTTTTGGTAAATTAAACATACAAAAAATGTCAGAGGAGAAAGAAAAAAGAAACAAGATGATATCAAACCAAATATCCATCCAGCTGCATTTTTTTGTCTTTTCTGAAGGCTTGTATCAAGAAAGCAATTAATAAATGCCACAGTTATCTGATGGTGAGTGTTTGTCCTGTAAGTGATCTTCATGAGAAGCAGCACTGACAAAATTTGAATTGCTGTCTTATTTGATTTTATGACGTACATGAGCAAATTAACGTGTCCGATGGGTTAACTTCAACTACAAGACCTTTTAATTTAGTCGCATTCTGTATATGTTTGATTCATGAGTGGTTATCCTTTTTTAAATATATTTTTGGGAAAGGTTAAGGCATCTCTCTCTAAAGAAGTGGTTGTACAAATCCAAAATGCTCCCAGCTCGATGCAAACAATAGTCAAAAACAATTATATTGTGATAGAAAAACAGGTTACTCCACCAAAATGATTGGTGCTAAGTGGGACTCCGAGCAAAAAAAAAAAAAAAAAAAATCCACTCATCCAATATCCAAAGGCTTCTCCTCAAGAGGGTCGCGGGTGTGCTTAGGGCTATCCCAGCTGACCTCGGGCAGTAGGTGGTGTACACTCTTAACCGGTGGTCAGCCAGTCGCAGAGCACACATAGAAAAATAACCTTTCACACTCACAATCACACCCCGGGACAATTTATTGTGTTCCATTAATCTGCCATGCATCTCTGTGGAATGTGGGAGGAAACCAGAGTACCCGGGGAAAACCCACACAAGCAAACGGGAGAACATGAAAACTCCACACAGGAAGGCCGGAGCCCGGAATTGAACCCCATACCTCTGCAATGTGAGGCTGACGTGCTACACTAAAAATCCTGCCAACTGGGATCTAAACCACTCTACAGCGTTACCACAAATGCCCACCTGGTGTCGCAAACGAGCCAACAGAATACAGTACTGTGGTCTATCGTATAGAGTGCTGCAGTCAGGGCAACAAAACAAGACACACATAATCTCTTCTGGTGTCATTAGCCAGGAGGATGTAATTAAAAACACGTAATAGGGCTGACTCTTTGTGTAATGCAGCATCTTAAAACCTGACAGGAAAACTTCCATGCTATTATGTTCATCCCAATATCGTTCACCTGAATGTGCATCGCTTTTTTCAGAATTGAAAAGGCAGTTTGGATGTGGGGACTAAAATTTGACAGCATGCCTTGATAATGGCTGTTGATCATGGCTAAAACCGACTGACCAGTACCCGCGAGGGCTTCCTTAAAGAAATGAGGAGGAAACAGAGTCATAACCAAAGACGGATCGCATACTCTTAAAAACCTTGAAGAAACAGGTTTAAAAGAATTTTACACAGCCAGACAAGGCACAGAGACAGAGGGGTCAAATGTGATGTTGAGCCCGAGCTGTAGCAATCATATCAATGAACAATTGCGGAAACATTCTTTCAGAGGGAAATGTGGCAATCAAAATAAGAAATCTGTTGACATTTAAATATCTTAATACCAAGGCTGTATGTGTTGACACTGCTCAATTGGATTGCGCTTATAAAGCCAATTTTGGAATCCAAACAATGGTCTTATTGCTAACATGAAATCCACAAATGCCCGTTGAGAATTTTATTAACAATTTATATTTATTCTGAAATGTGGAAATATTTGATTTTGGTGTAGAAAGTTTACTCTGATAAATGTTTGATAAATACTGATGTTTGTGTATGTGAGTGTGTGTGTGTGTGTTTTTTTTTTTTTTTTGTCTGAACATTGATAAAAGGATTTTTACCCAGCAGCAGAATTACCATCCCACGACTGGGACCACCCTGACGCTTAATCTAATGTTGAGGCGGAGCTTCATTACTTAGGGGCGCCACCCCCTCGGTACACACATATGTAAACATGCACACGACCTCACTGCATCTTGAGCGCTGAGCTCAAACAAACACGTTAAGATTTATATCATACAGCTGTTCTTGTACAAATCTAACATGTTGTGCTGGATGTGTTATTGTTGGAGGGACACCGAATATATCGGTTTTGTTTAAAAAGTACAGCGGCTGTGTCACAGTGTCACCGTGTACTGTAACACACATAAATGAGTCTTCGGGAAACAGTATGGGGATTGAATACATTCTTGCTCTTTGCTGGGAGGAAGAATTACAATGACAGACATGCTCCAAATTAATACCATTCAAATTCAAATCACAAGTTGTTTACACGAACAAACTATGACTATTTCATTTTTAAGCATCAACAAATTTACTCAGGAGAGTAGGCTTACTCCTGTAGCACATAAATATCAACTCCCTTGGTGGTCGTTTTCAATGGTAGTGAGATTAAAAAATAATTCTTCTGTGACAAAAAAATAATCGAAGGCAAGGCATGGCAAGTTTATTTGCATCGCACAATTCCATCACATGCATTCGAAGTGCTTTGCAAAGGCAACGAAATAAATGAAATCAACAAAAGTCTTATCAAAAATGATTGAAATAAATGAACATGCAAAAGGCACAAGTGTATTAAAACACAAGATTAAAATGACAGTAAAAAAAGGCAATTAAAAGAAAACAAAACATATAAAGTGAAGATGATAAAGTTGCATTCGGAATAGTGAAGAAATGACTAAAGGACCAATTCATGAGACTACTGCTGTAAAAAAAAAAGTTTTTAGCCTTGATTTAAATCAACTGATGGTTTGAGCAGACCTCAAATATTCAGAATGTTTGGAACTATCAGTGCCACTTCATTTTGTTAGATTCCAATTTTGGGAATACACCATAGTCCTGGCCTAAGAGCTCTGGATGTTTCATAGGCAATTAATACATCTTGCATGTGTTCTGGGCTATGAAAAAAAAATCTGCACTCTGATTCACAGGAAGTCGGTGCAGTGATTTTAGGGCCAGTATGTGTGTCCAGTTTTGTGCCATTTGTAAGGACTCTCGTGGTAGCATTCTTGATCAACTGCCGCTGCCTGATTGATTTTTTTTGTTGTTGTTAAAAATGGTAAAGACACCATTAACAGTAATCTACTCTGATGAAAAAAATATGAACATGTTTTTCTGTGTCTCATGATTTTCTGTGTCATTTATTAATTTGAGCAATAAAGTATGTTGATTTAATGAATACTTTAATGAATGTAAGGAACTGCAGTCAATTGATGACACTGAAGTGTGAAGTTGCTTGTCCTAAACATGATAAATGATAATCTAAGCAATAATCTGGGCAATAATCTGAACAAAGGACAACATGTAGCTTTCAAAGTAGTCCAAGAATGGATCCTTGCAGAACCCCATGCACGCACCCTCCACACCACACTTTTTGCACTTTGGACCAAGTCTGGACAATAGCAGACAGAATCTTTGTCTTGATTTTATGGTTCCAAGGATTAACGATTCTGTCATTGCGGTCATAGCTTCTTTACCGATCCTGCCATCAGTGAAGGTCTTTATGTGCTTGGTCAGAATGTACACCACATTAAATGATAGTTCTGTTGATGCTCTGGCATTATGGGTAGTTCCATAAGCAGAGGCTGTTGTTGTGGGAGGTTACTTTTCATCTCTTAATGCAAGCTGCTTCCTGTGGGAAAGGCTGTTAAGAAAGAACTTGCTTTGCGATGAGTCACTGGACTAAATCTAATTTCATTTTAGGCAGGTGACTGAGGTAAAGCCCTTCCTTTCTTAAGAGCACCGAGAAACAGTAATTAATTTGTTACATCTCTTTATTTGGGAGCCAGTCAGTCCTCGTTTGAGCATCACCAGTTGGTCCAGTGGGTCCAAAATGCTGCTGCTCATCTCCTAACTGGAGCTGAAAAGAGGGAGCACCAATTCTGGCTTTCCTTGATTGGGTCCCGGTACATTTTAGAATTCATTTTATGATATTTCAATTTTTTTCAAATCTTTTAATGTTCTCGCCCCAGCT